TCGAAAAAATGACGTCAGTCTGACGTCATTTTTGACGTCAGTAAACTGAATAAAAAGGTGTCATTATGAAATAACGTCTTTATTGCAAAAGCAATGTTCATATTTTAAAAATTGACGTCTTTTTTAAAAGACGTCTTAAAATGTTCCAATTTGAGACATGAGAAGACGTCTTTTACAGACGTCTATTAAAGACGTCTTAAAAAGACGTCTTAGATAGACGTCATTTTTTTCAATAGGGAGATACTAAAATATTGTTCTATATACTAGTGTCGAGGATGTTTGACATCCGGGAGCTAGTCCACGTCAAATTAATAGAAATAGGCAATTATCGACATTTTCGGATAATCTAGCAGTCTAATTCAGTGTTAATTTTTTTGTCAATTCCTGAGTCATTCACCCGTTCTTGAATAAATTGACAGGGTGAATAACTGAAATATAAAAAAATTATAGAGTGAGAATAATGGATTCGATGAAGCATTTTCTTATAAATTTATGTAAAAATATTTTTTAAATTGAATATGTATTATTTTTTTATCAAAAATATTATAAATTTGTTAGTTGGATATGTGGACTCTTTTAAGCATTAAGTTTGCATACATTTACAATATAGATTTTTTATACTTTTGAATCGATTTACACGGAGCAGACCATAAAATACCATTGTACATTTTGCTGAATGAAAACTAGTTGATATTCATATAGATATACTAGGTAAATACAATGCAATAAAATATTGAAAAAGAATTTATATTTTCAGTCAATCTTCTCAAGAAGAATGAAAAGTACATGTTCCCGTTCTACTTATCTACATTTTAGGAAATCCAGATAGTAATAAACATATATCTGTATTTTATACATATTTTCTATTTTATAGTTTTGGTGGTTTCTCGTTACATTTTTAGCGTGTGGTATATCCATATAATAGCTTTTTCATAACACGTAAAATTGGAATGCTAAATGCGAATTTATTAATATATTGGCTATTCTGAATAGCCATAAAAGCCAATATATTATATAGCATAATAATTTAATAATTGCATATTGTTCCTTTCCATTCAAAAAAAAAATTCAGATAAATCGAAAGGACATTTTTTGCTCAAAGATAAACTAATGCTGATTTTTATTCTTTTGACATTTAGCATTTCAACATTGCATGGATGAACTGACATTTTATTTCATGCATCCATTTATAATCAACCTTCTAATTATAATTTTTATATATGGTTTCACATTTTTATTTCATTCTTAGCTGCTCTATTACAAAAAGTATTTAAATATATGCATGATACGTTTGTATATGAATTGTAATATAACTCGGTAAGGCATCTATATTAATCAAAAGTTATAAATTCATATAATCACGTAATACATTCAACTGTCAATGATCAGGTAAAGTAATATGCTTTGTGCTGGATTAGGGATTTTCAAACTATCACTTGATCTTTATAATTATCGCAATAAGTCTTAGGTTAGAATTCGAGCGGATTAAAACAGCCAATATAATGAATGTATAAATTCTAAAAAAATATATAATTTAATTTTATATTTTTATCTTAATATTGATACAATACAATGACAGCATGAAATCCAAGTTTTTTTCATACATAGTGCCACATATTGCTTGCATGCAAAATTAGTGCATTTTAATCAATAGTATCTGGCAGATGGCATAATCGATTGAAAATGATCTGAAAATATATAGATTTGTTTATATTGTTGTTTATTTAAAAAAAAATGAAGATTCCATATTTTTATACAAAACTGTTTTAATACGTCAGAATATATCTTAATTATTTTGCATTTTCTTAAATGGTACATTAATAATAAACGTTGAACTATGGTTAAGTAGTACGTAGTAAACATCTTTCTTCGCATAGAATAACCTTTAGTCTTATTTTGATTAATAAATGCATAATATTCGTGTTATCAATTATGGTTATTTATTTGCAACTTTAAATTCAATTTCACATACTGATCGTGTGATTTATACATTTTGTGTATATATATAATTTTTGAAATTGAGTAAAGAATGTTTGCTATATGGTTACTATCGTTATCATAGTTTTTAATGATAATTATGCTTTTAGCAATCGAAAAGCAAATTGGTGATGCTTCTTTTAATAAGGTGTAATGCGGTACATTACAAGGCCTCCTGAGTGCTGCATTATTTGCAGCACTTCAGAAAAGGCCATCCCCGTCCCTTGCCGCCCCGTAACCGGTTGTTTAAAATAAAGCTAAACACGCCCTACACCGAACAATTATTATTTTCCATGTCTGAACGACCACGCCGGAGATATGGACGAAGCAAACTGTCTAACGCGATCCGACGGACGCTCAAAGAGCAGACAAAAAAAAAAAGGAGCGCACCACAGAAAAAGAGAGCGCACGCACACACTAACTCACAGACACTCCCGACCACGTGTTGCCGGCCGGCAAAAGAAAAATGCAAAACCTGACTGGGAAATGTAACGGAGATGCATATTGATGACACATGCAGATCCGTTACACTCCCAGACACTAACACGAACACTCACGAGGCACTGACACTCCTGGGGCGAGCAGAAAATCGCCGATGAAGTGGCAGCCGGCAATCAGCTGTGTCGGGCTGCCGAACACCATCGGCGACATCCTGAGCGCCACACACACGAAAATCAGCTACCACACACACAAACACCCGGAACAACACCACAGAACCGACACGGGAGAACCCCAGGAGGCGCTCCAACAACCGGCGCAAGGACACGAGGCGTACGCGCGAGAAACTGAGCGGCCATCTTGAAGCGCCGATATAGACTGAGAGCGAGCGAGCGAGACAGACTGAGACAGAGCGAGCGAGACAGAGCGAGCGAAGCAGACTAAACAAGAGCGAGCGAGACAGACTGAGACAGAGCGAGCGAGACAGAGCGAGCGAAATAGACGAAACAAGAGCGAGCGAGACAGACAATATAAAATAATAGAATAATATGTAAATGCGAAGATGAGGGCGCTACAAATGAAACGGCGTATATTATATACGTATTTCTGAGATTAAAATTAAATCATAAATTGAAAAAGAATGAACACGAAACAAATATCGAATTGTAAAATTCGCACTCGACCGACACCCCTATTATGATGGCGAGCGACAACTACCCCCTTTAGGTTTAAATGATAATTTTACTAACTGAATTCGAACATCTGACAAAATTCGCTAGTGACGTCACGACCAATAGGCAAATTAGAATAAAATTTGATTTCCGTCCGCATAGACGAATAGATAAGAGTAGGGGTAGATCTTTTCCGACAATTAATGATAGATACCTTAGTGGGGGGTGAGAGAGAGTAAATAACGACGAAAGTAGGAGAGTTAAGGAGGGCGCTGTATTATTCTAATTTACATACGGACCAATGATAAAAATTCGGAGGGCGCTCCCGATATCCGAATTAGCATACCGACCAATAATAACATTTCTTCTCGGAAAGAGGAGAAGAGAAACGATCTTTGACCGCGAGAAGCCGATTCTCGTCCATTTTGCCACTGGATATCCGCAAGGAAGGAGCCTCTCTCAGCTAATCGTTGTCGAAATTATTTAGCGCTAGGCGCCTCAGATATTCCTATCAATTTGTTTGCTAATACCGCAAGGAGAAAATTGTGAGTAGGCAAAGTGCCACTCATATTTTTTTTTAACTAATCGCGGAGTGCGGGGATCAATTGTTCAGTGCCGTAGGTCGTCGCGACGCGTGGATCCGTCGACGCCGGTGCCTATCGGATCGTGCTGACCTGTCCGTCATTCCGTGAAAATAAATTGAGTGTTCGGTTTACGAAGGAGAATTGCAATTTAGGATTCGCGCTGACCTTCGTTTGCCAGTTATTGAGTGTAGAGTTTATGAAAGAAATTTGCGGCTTAGTTTTCGCGCTGACCTTTCGCCAACTTCTATTAAGTGTTCGGTTACGAGAGAAAATCGCGGCTTAGTTTTCGCGCTGACCTTTCGCCAACTTTTATTAAGTGTTCGTCTTACCAAAGAAATTTGCAATTTAGTATTCGCGCTGACCTTTCGTTAGTTACTTAGTACAAACGTAGGTTCAATTGAATTAAATTGTTTTGATTTATTAGTCGCGCTGACCTTTCCGCCATTTCGCAAACCGAATTTGAGCGTTAGGTCTTATAAAAGAAAATTGCGATTTGTTACTCGCGCTGACCTTTCCGCCATTTCGCAAACCGAATTTGAGCGTTAGGTCTTATAAAAGAAAATTGCAATTTGTTACTCGCACTGACCTTTCCGCCATTTTAGGAACCGATTAAATTGTATTTTTAGGGATTAATGAAAACTCAGAATTTTACCGACCATACCTATTCCGACCTCGTATGTGAAAAATTTTAATGCATCAATAAAACGATTAATTATCTTTATATTTATATATATAATTTACTGGATAACCTACCCCTGTTGCATGCTAGAGATTTTCATCCGCGAACGGTTACATACGGGTTTCATTAATTCGCTATATTTTCGGATTATTCGTTAGGTAAAATACGCGCGATTTCGAACGTCCTCACGACCTGACTTAAGGAGTCATCATCTGAGCTGCCGGCGTACTCTAGTCAAGGAGAAGACGAAGGAAAGTTGGACACCAAAGGCCTGAACCTCGGATACAACGCGTATCCCCCCCATTTGCTTACTCTGCGCAGTCGCCGTTAGGCAGACCGGGATACGCGTAACCCTACTGGCCTTACCCCCGACGATCGCCGTAATCAGCCGACGGTCTGGCGCCCTAAATAATCGGGGGTAGAGCCAAACAGGCCTTGTGGCGGAAGAACTCGGAGAGCGGTCAAACCCCCGAAATTCCCTGCCACAAAGGTAGGAGGAAGTATTAGCCATGATATGAACTATGCTCCAGTCGGATATGAGTATAAAAGAACTAATGAGATAAAATATTGTGAACGTATTTTATTGATATAACCGCTTAATGTATTATTATCTTAATTGAAATTTTCTTAATATAATAGATACATATTGGAAGAGGCAAAAACATTAGTACAGAAATGTACAGTAATTTAATGTTTAAATCTAAAACACCATATCAATGTGTATCAAACATCTTAAGATCGCTATTCACAATGGAAGTATTGATAGCTACTACTATCACTGGAAGGGTTAGTAATAGAACATTAGCAAACAAAAAGGATAAAGGGGAAGCTACCGAAAAATCAAAGCCAAATGCTTTGAACCCATCTAAGCTACTGATTTGTAAAGGTAAAATTTGTATTTTTTCGAATAATTTAAATTTAAATTGTTTTTTATTGTCGTATTTCCTGTGAATTGATGCCAAGAAACCTTTTTCTTTTTAATGTATTTTTTAATGTTAAAAAAGGACATTTTCAGATTTGTCTTTATATGTAGTATTATATTTTTTGTATGAAATTCAGATTTTTACGAACATTGGATTGAAAATGAATTCAAAAAGAAAGTATCTGTGGAAGAATACAACTTTTAAAAGTTATCAAAGGCTTTTGATGCTCATGTTTCAAAATGCATCAGCTATTTGAAGAGACCAAAAGAAAGAGGTAAATTCATATAAATAAAACTCATATTATAACAATACACGTGTAGAATGTAAAAATGAATTTATGATTTATATACTGTGTATATTTCGTATAGACGGCACTAATAAAAGTAAATGTGACATAATTAAAGAAAAAAAAATGAGCGAGAGTAATTCTAATAATGTAGCTAAAAATGTAAGTGATGACAATGAAAGTGGATTTATATGCAGGTATTTATTATCACAAATATTAATATTTAAATAATTATATCAGTTTTAGTTAACTCCGTTGCCAATAACATGATTCCTTTTTTATAACGATATTTGTATGAAAATCCCACATGATCGAAACTAATCTGACAGTAATATACATTTAATTAGTATATTGTCAAATATTTGATCGATACTTGTTTCAGTAGCCAACATTTTGTGAATTTGAACGATGAAGATAAAACAGATGAAAAAATAGATAGTGACGATCTAATCACTGACGAGGATACTGATCCTCTTTCTGTGTTACCGCCATATCCTAGTTTTTTAGAAAAACAAAGGTCCGGCCTATAACGATCAACATGAAAGTCTCTCTATAAGCAAAGCTGAGGTTATTGGAAAAAAATGATAAAAATTCAGATAATCAAATAGAAACGATATAGTAGATACGGATATAAAAATAGACAAACCTCTTATTTTATTAACTATTTATTTTATATAAAAAACCATTTTATTTAACTATTTATTTTATATAATAAAGACAATTTTATATAATAAAAACATGAACCTTTTACATTTATTAAGTCTAAATTTCAAAATCCACAATCGGTATTAAAGTCGATTATATGTGCAATTCTGATAAGAAATAAGAAAATATTGAAGTACATTTGCTCAATACTCAAAAATAACATAGAATGTGATTGATTGGTTGAGATATCAATATACTTTAAAAGGAATAAAAATCACTTATATGGATTAAACCGGATTGGTAATCCATTTTCAGTCTAACTTTGAACACCCAAAATTGGTATTAAAGTCGATTATATGTGCCATTTCTAATACAGATAAAAAAGCATTGAAAAATATTGATATATTCATAAAAATAGTATTAAAAGCGATTCAGAGGGATAAGATTCATATTCAGTATCAATACGATTCAATGATATTTAATTGCAATTCATTTGAATACTGTCACTTCTATGCTCTTTTGTCAATCAATTTTAATTGTCATTTTCGGGATTCAGAATTAGACTTAAAGCGGATTGGACTTTTTCCAATCCGGATCAATGTCCTTGTTTCAGCAGGATCTCTCCCTCCCTCCCTTTCTTTCTCCCTTTCTCACTCTCCTTCGACAATAGGGTACTCAGTAAACATGCTGACTAGGTGCAAGTCCTAGGAGAGGGGGTAGCGTCTCTAGCTGCTTGCTAGGAGCGTGCGCCGTATAGCCCTTGAAGAGGGATATAGCGTCTCTAACTTGCTAGACGCATACGCTGTATATTGTGGATGCTGCTCTCTCTCTCTCTCTCTCTCTCACTCTCCTTCGATAGTAGGATATGTGGGCCCTTGGAGGGAGGGTACCATTTAGCTTGGTAAGCTATATGCTGCTCTCTCTCTCTCTTTTTTTTTCTCTAAGCAAGCGCTATAGTAGTTTCATTAAATTTCGGGAACCTTTCAACCTCACAGTTGATTTTATTTGAATATTAATTAATAAAACTTATAGAATTTTCGTTTAATTATTATTAATTTATTCTTCATTAAGCTATACATTGAGTATAATACAGTCTGTCTATAATCTTTATTTTCAGTAGTTGACATTGCTATATTGAAATATTGATTTGAATTTTTATGTCATATTGTCAACTTCATCAATACCTTCCATTTCAGATTGCTTCCCTCTAGCTTTTATCCATAAAAACAATCTTTGTACACATGTAACGGCACATACAAAGTTAGCTGGTTTATTGTAATGATATGTACATATTATTTCTAATGGGTAAGGTAATGCGCTCATTGGTGGACATCTCATCTCGCTTTCAAGTTCTAAAATTTTTCTAAAAAAGGAAAAAAACTTTTAATTAATAATGATTTTAATTTCTAACAAAAAAAATAAAATACTTACTTTTCAGATAAAATTTTTTGTAACCATTGTTTATTTTTTAATCCTTTTAATATTTCTATAATTATTAAAATGATTGTTTAGTACACTAAATTTTTATATGGAATAAGACCGGAACTCCATAATAAACCATGATGACACTTTTGTAAGAAATGATTCACTTTTCGACACTTGAAAGGAAGTTGAAACCAATGATATGCTGGTTCGAAGAAAAACACAGTTGGAACAGTATCATCATCTAATGGTAGATATGCGAGTTCTTTACAAACAAAAGTCTAGTTTAAACTTTGAAAGCCTTGTAAATCTATTACTAAATCCATTTGAAAAGATGCTGAAGTTAAAGTGAACGCTACTAGTTCCTAAAACCGTTATGAGAGTAGAGGCACGTATTTGTTCTATATAAAGCCTATACCTGACTATTCGATTTTTTCTTTGTCTGCAACCATCACATATGGCATCAACCATTCAACCTTAATTAAAGTAATTTTTGATTTTTCTGAAGCATCAGGCTGATGCGCATGAACTTCATAATGAGCTATAGACTCATCGAAAGCGACAGCTGAATGAATGTCTAGAAACCCTCCATATTGTTGTTGTTGTTGTTGTTTTATACAACACACTAATATGCACAATATTTTCTTCCACGATTTTCGACGACTTCTAGTCTCAAGCTTTTCAGGAATTGAATGTTCTGAGGTGTGAGCGGTCTGATAGCTCGCTGTTGACTGGCTGCTGTTTGACATTTTTGTCTTTTAATATAGCCTCGGTCGCTCTTTATATTGTAAATGATACCCATTACTAATATATGGTCTTTATATGTCCTCGCACTGTGATGACTTCTCCTCAAAAGTTAACTAGGTTTCCGTCTTGATGACCTATACGAATTTGAAAATGATCAATACTCCTCACAGCGACTGGAAGGTAAATGACGTGAGAGGGAACTTCTATAATCTTATATCCTAGTGGGACTGCTGGGAAAAATTCATATATAGTATGTACTTTGCGATCGCTTATGTAAGAGCCTGTAATAATTTTACACTCTTCACGTAAAGCGTTGACTTTGAGTATAGTGACGCGTAAGTCAGAACTACGTGTTTCATTTTCAACGAGCGTGCGTTTAGTGAAGCCTCAAATTGATCCAATAGAATCTTCTGGTTCAAAATGTATTTTTTGACTGCACTGAATGGCACTACGTAAAGTAATATTATTTGGTTTCAGGCTAAACGATATATCTTTAGGTTTTAATGCTTCTTTGAGAAAGCTTTCAATATCTTCTAATTCGTAGCTACGTCGGTAAAGTGATAGCTTCTTGACCTTCAATGTAAAATTTATTATAACCAACGTCAATGTTTGGTATTAAATTAAATGTTAATAGCTCAACTAGACCAAGAACGAATTTTTTGTTTGGTATCAATTCGATCGGTGGAAAATAATATGATTCGAATACGGATGATGTTCCGGAGAGACTCAATGTCAGTGTATTCTCCATGACAGAATCATATCAAATGATAGTCATTCGTCGAATGAGTACTTTTTATACTAGTTGTCTTTTCTATAGATTTTTAAAAGAAATTTGAAACAAAGATGGCCGCAATTATATGTATTAAAATCTTGATATCTAATATAATTATAAATGATTCTATTAACTTTGAGATAAAGCAATAGATCTATAGGCGGCTGTAGATTACCAAAACTATCAAAATACATAACCTCATCACCTTTCTTTTTATATGCTACCCAATGAGTGCCTGGTCCCCGTTTATTATCTAAATTTACAATAGCTCTCTCTTGATATCGAGGTCCATTGGTCGGTAGAGCATCACGCATAAAAATACCTCGAAAATTTGCAATTTTTATTATTTTAGCATATTTTCTTATATCATGATCTGTCAGTGCTCGATTAGGTAAAGTTATTTCGAGCTTTTTTTAAAACATTTTCCAGTTAAATATGGTTTCAGATGAAGACCATAACATTAACGATGTAGTTTCAAATAAAGTCCTTTACCAATAGCAATAGCTTCCATAGTTTTATTGTGTCTATGAGCTTCTTTCAATTAATTTTGAGCGGCCTTAGCATTGTTAACGGCTTTTGCTATTGAAGCAGCTCCTCCAGCTAAAGCTTCAGTGGCTCTCAAAGCGGCAAATAATGGAATTAAAAAAGGAAGAGCTCCACCCACTTTACTAGGAATTGGTAGAATACGAGGCATATTTATTTTTCTTCTTCCTCCAGCCTTCTTCACAGCTTCCTTAGCGCCTTTTATAGCCGAACGAATGACAAAGAGTGATTTATTACTAGGTACAACACTTCTCGAGGCAGCGTTAATAATGTTTTTCAATGCAATTGATAGATTTTTACTTTTTACATGTGTTTTTCGTCGCTGTCATTGTTGTTGGCGAATTTTTAATCGCTTTCCTCGTCTTAAAATTTTAACACCCATTCTAAGTTTACTTTTAACTTTCATTATGTTGGCTACAGCAAACGCAGCAACTTTCTCACCAAAACTACTATCTTTCGCTTGCACTCTATCCCAAGCCTGTTTATCTAGAATTTTGTTGGCTTCGTTTCTCGCCTCAATGTTCTCTCGATTCTGAGAATAAGCAATATCGTAATCTTTACAAGCATCGTCTAGCGGATTTTTTCCAGGATCACCACGAGCAAGTCGTTTTTTCATTTTAAATCCCGGCCCGCAATACTGATAACCAGGCAGATGAGCTTCGAATGGTAAGTTATTAATGATCTTATCCAATAAGCCAGCACCACCAGTCCTTCTTTTGTGACAAATGATCATACCTCAAGAAGACAAAGTCTTAATGAAACTAAAAAATATATAAACAGTCTTTTTATAGTTAGTAGTCTCATTCGTCGTTTGATCGGTGACTAGAAAACAATATGGACTTCAAAGAGTAACCCTTAAGTTGCAAGTCATAAATTTTGATAATGTGGTTGAGACGGAAAAACGAGAAAAAAGACATGGTGAACTAATGCCTGACAGTATACGAGCAGTTTTGTGTGGTCCTAGTAACTGTGGAAAAACTAACTATTTGCTAACACTAATCACACAGCCTAATGGACTTAGATTCGAAAACGTTTATGTTTATTCAAAGTCCCTCAATCAACCAAAGT